TTATTTACCGATTTACCGCATTCGATGTACAGTACCTTTTCCGCTACACTTTTTTTGATTTGAAAGGGAAGTTTGGCGGCTGAGTCAAACGTTGTTTTATGGCGACGGATTGTAACCTAGTTCCGACGGGATTCGCATTGTAATTTTGCAAAATTACGTATTTTGGCACTGTCACAATTAATTAATTTTAACATCAAAATTTAATTCATTTTAGTATAAGGATTCACAATAAAAGCGGCNCCCCCCCCCCCCCCCCCCCCCCATGCAGATACGACAACCCGATTCGCTAGTACGCTTTTAAAATTATGACATGCCCATAAATACAATACAACTACACAAACATGACGACTAAATAAACCAATAAAACAACCCATTAAAATCAATATATCAGGCAAACAGTTCCGGCTCAGTTAACCATCTCTTCTTGGAAAACCATTTCCTGGAAGAGCATCAAATTCAGTAAAGGCGCAAAGCAGCTTACTAGGGTTGTACAGTGCACTACACCAAGCTTCTGACTGAGAATATGATAAGAATTGGTAGAAAGAGAGAACAAGTTTTATGAATTTTTAATGTGTATCGAATCTTACAAGCATATTTTAAGATTGTGCATCTCACCACTATTTGTTTTTTAAGTTGCAAATAAATACATATTATTATTATTGTTGTTGTTGTTGTTGTTGTTATTATTATTATTATTATTATTATTATTATTATTATTATTATTATTATTAAGTGATAATGATATGGGAGAGTTAAGGAGTTCAGAGAGAGACAAGGGCAGGGATAATTAATTCTTCAATTAAAAGTGTATATTACAACCCTGGTCAGTGCGGGCTTATAATTTACCCCAGATGGTAAAAAGAGAAATGTAAGAACAGATAGCAGAGAGTTTATTTGTTGTGAAAATACACAATACAGTGTATTACAATGGGCAGGTAACAGATATAATTACACCAATACGTAAATGCGGAAAGTGACATTACATGTACAAAGAAACAGAAAAGATTGCGCCGATTTAACCAAAATGACTTAACGAAGAACACAATTTTAACTTAAAAACTTTAAAAAATAAGACACCACACGTATACAGTGTGAAATATACATGTAAGTTCCTAAAACAACACAACATATTATTTAAAAAAAACATCAGTACGCTGCTAATCGATGTGTCGTACTGACAAACATATAAACGCCATTTAAACAGAACAAGCGTTTCATGAAAGTATCCTTTAATTTCTACGAGCCCATTCCCATTGACACCATCGATCTACATAGATCGATCCAACTCTGCGGGGACTCCTGCTGAGTGCAGTCAGCTTAACTGAATTACACGCCTCCTCCTGGCGTTGAAAAGAATATATAGAAAAGCTGGTGATTATACGAGTATTTTGTTAACAAGATGAGGCTCGCCATCCAGTAATACTGATTGCACTTAGCAGGAGTCCCCACAGACTTGGATCGATGGTGTCTATGGGAATTGGACCATAGTGTTTATAGATTTTATTAGCTGAGTTATAAATGTATACACTGTAGATGCCAATATATCTTAAATAATGAATATATCTAAAGCCAGCATGTAGCATTCTGATAATAAGTCATATTGTCCTTCAATCGCGAAACAATTCTGGCCAAACTCTTCGAAGGCAATTGTATTTTCGCTTTTAATCCGAGACTTTTCCTTCATCCGCTAATCATATGTATTTGATCCTCCGTTCTAGCATTCAATATCTTACGTAACGTCAATGTAAAGTACTTTAAAGCGTGACGTCTTGTTGTGTACGTATAGGAGCACTGCAGTTAATAATTCAACGCATGTCAATTTCATATCATTTAATTAAGCCTCCCACAAGGGAGACAGTTAGATGAATGATTTGTAGTTGTAATAATTTGATAGCGTGGTAATGCATTCCGCTTGAATTACGGTGTACTCAAATACCTCTACCTCTCTCTTCCACGATGAATAATTGAAAAGGATGGCGTGCTCTTCTCTGATTTTTGCATCATTGTACGTTAATTTTGTGAAACAAAGAAAAAGTCGGACCAACAAAAATACATGTAACAACCTTATTTACCGATTTACCGCCTTCGATGTACAGTACCTTTTCCGCTCCACTTTTCTTGATTTGAAATAATTTGTATCGTACTTTATCAAAATTAGGAAATAACTATTTCTCAACAACTTTACTATTTTTATAATGTATTTGATAAAACAGTGAATTGTTCTGTCTTCATTTAAACTAACTGTATTTATGTCATAAAACAAGTAAACATGTAGTTCGATAAAATCCAATAATTTGGGTTATAATTAAAACAATTATGTGGCGTGCAAGCGTTGCAGTCTTATAATCCATATTATGGCCATAAATTTCGCCACTTGTCGAAAGCTATTTAAATCAATATTATAGTTTCCCATAATTAAAGCAGGATTGATATTTCATTGGGCCAGGCAGCGAGATCTCGGTATCGAAATGCACGGCAGCAGAACAATGCCGGTGAACGTAGGCGGTGAGATAATAATAATAATAATAATAATAATAATCTTTATTGAATAATGGCAACCCGAAGGTTGAAGTTATACAATTACAAATATATATGAATATTTAAGTCAAGGAAGCCTGGTCATTTTTGCACTGGTGCACTCCTTAGACGGTCTCACCTCCCTGGGGAGCATACAGCTCGGCTGCCATATTAGGCGCTCATAGCTAATATAACATTTCTGCACTGCCTGACCAGGCCCCTGCTTCAACCCCTTAGTGCTGAGTGCCAAGCGGGGAGACAGCAGGTACCGTTTATAAAGGACTGGTATGTCCCCGGACGGGATTTGAACCCACGTCCTCCCGCTCCGGAGGCGGACACTCTAACCACAAGGCCATCCTGTAGATGAAACTGTAACAAGTGGCAGCCTCTCAACCACCCTGACAGAATACAAGTATTGCGCTGATCTGTTGTGTTAGTGATATTCGCAACACTTATAACGCAATTACTTAGCCTTAAGCAGTATTCGCTGACATCCCTTGATTCAATGTTCTAAATCAAGGTTAAATAAAGCTAGATGCATGAAAAGTATGACACAGTTAGCTTTAGCTATCACGCACGAATTCATGAACGATAACGTTCGCACCAGAGCACGAACAAGCGCACACACACACACACACACACACACACACATATATATATATATAGAGAGAGAGAGAGAGAGCATAAAGGAACAGTCATATACATGTGCTCAAACACGCACTCGGGGACGCCGCGCAAGCACACACACACACACACACACACACACACACACACTTACAAAAACTTCGATAATATTCCATAATCTACATCACCACGTCTTCAGAAAATGGTATGCAATTTTGCATCTCCCAACACCAACTACATGTACCTGCCTACTTTGCAAAGGTTGTACACACATAGATACTAAAGGTAATAAATCCCGAATGCATACCTCTGTTTCGTAGATAAGCTGTACTTGCTGACCCATCCGTAATTTCTAGGATAGGATATCTAAAGTACATGTATAAAAACGAGATACGTATGTGAAACCGCGCTGTGTGCGGACGCTAATGACACATAAGGGTATATAATATTTATTTAGATAGTTACTGTACCTTGAAAGATACTTAAGCTAACAATGTCAGCCCGCATCGTAGACGTACGTCCATCAATAAACTAATATTAATTACAGGTGTGCGTGTTTGCCTGTATTCACATCTACGTAGATAACTATATTGAATTACCTAGCTTTCTGTTTGGTATGGAGTTAAAATTAGTAGCCGAGCGAATATATTTTGGGACGATTTTCCAAGAAAAAAACGTAGAAGGTCGTCGCATTATTGTACTTTAAACCTTAGCTGAACTAATTTAAATTGATCATTGAATGTTTGGCCGTTTACGTGCAGAACTACAGGAATACGTGTGCTAACTTATTATCCCTACCTGTATATTCAATTTGTGCAAGACTTTCTTGTTTCATCCATCTTTTTCTATGCCTTTGCAGAGTACTCTCTCTATTTACATATTGGCATATTTAGGGCTGCTCTGTGCACGTCTCTATCAAAACACTTTATCCATCAGATTTCCGTAATATTAATACTAGTAAATATTGGAAACTGTCAAAAAGCGTCCACTCTCAATCTTTCCATCTCTAGCGAGTTCGCACTGATCATAAGGGTAATAAATGTGGTGACTATTACTTTAAGGTGTAAAGTGACGCGGTTTTAGACCATTTTAAGAACAAAACAAGTCGACTTATATGGATTCTCTATGACCGTTTGCCCCTCAAGATAACCGCCTTGCCTTAAGGTTGTGTCCTTATGCACGGCGTTGTTGTGTATTAATTAACGTCTCCTTTCTAAGGCATTGCAAAAAGCAGTAAACACTGTCGATTTAGCCATACAAATCGGTTTAATCTTAAAACAAGCTGCAAGAAAATGCACATGGGTACCTATCAATTTTTAAATCTATATGTACTGAAGATCTGTATTTACTGAAGGTCGTGTGTGATAGATATGGACTACGAACGTACCTCACATGTGAAGAAAATTGAACATATGTGCAAAAAATTTTAATTTACCCTAGTGTTCTATAGTAGCCTAATTGAATCCAGAGTCCAAGTAACCGAAGCAACAGAAGCAACATGGGTACCTATCAATTTTGAGTCTTAATATAGATGCAATAGTGTGAAAAATTAAAGAACAAATTATCAGATAGAAATGCCATAAGGACATTACCTTAATGGCAAAGGAAGTGACACTATAGCCACCCCAAATCAAAATGGCCTTCTCTGCATGCATGCCGTAGAAAGAAATGCCGTACGCGCACCTGTTAACTAAGCAAAATTAAAGCTTCATAATTAATGGTACATACATTATACCAAATAATGTATAGTCTACAGGGCATAAGAGCCCTATACCTGTGTCAAATATGCCATTTTTCAATATGTATACAGTGCTACTGAATTACTGACAGATTTCTCTCGACGTTGAAAATAGACTCACCATACTTTTAAAGGCAGTCGACACCACTGTGTAGCTCCTAGGCAGGCCAATGACACTCATCTGTTTATCTTCAGGAATAACTAGCAGGAGATCTGAACGCTGTCCCCATAGACATACACACGTCACTCGAACATGATCGTCTCTGAAAAATGTGAATAATTGTCGTTTAGTGGGACAAACAACGTTCTGATAACAAAAAAGCAATGTTGCGTGGGCTAGCTGTCGGTGATTCAAACGGCGTTATGAAAGTCTCTGCACGAATTAAGTCTTGCTCTTCCCGTGAGATGCTTGCATTTTTCAACTGATGACTAAGGTCGATAACATATGTATTAGTACATGTACCCCATAACACATTAAAAGTGGCAATTACGTCATATCGTCAAAGCGAGACCTTAAAGTCCCTACTCCTGATCAGCAAGCTGATGTGAAAGTCATTTACTTTAAACCAATAACCATAACATTCCTGATATACCAATGTATTCCTCCCTGCCTTCCAAGTTCAGCTGCCCGCAATGTTGTTTATTACACGGTGTCGGGGACATTTAATAATTCATAGACAATGTCAGTAATTTCAAGTAATAACTTTATTTTAAACCGCAATACTCTATAATACATTATGTCAATTCTGAAGAGGCTGAGTAAGGCTTGTTTACCAGTCTCATTAAGAAGCTAGTGATAAGGAAGTGCTAACGCGTTATCCTAACTAAAAGTTTCTAACGGTGTCCGTATTTCGAGCCCAATTCTAAATTACGTTTATATCTAAATTTGCGCGGTTCCGGACAACGGTGTCTTCATCCCTTGTACTACAGTGTCATTTACCGGCAGTGTTCTTAATAAACATGCTTACAAGAAGCGCAGTCTTGTTTATTTAAGGCTGTTGTTGCCTTCTTGTTTTGACGTGTTATTGTTTGTCTATTAACAGCATGAGGTTAAAGAAGGTAAAGATACAATGCATATGATGGAGGAACGGGCACAAGGGACAAAAAAATCTTAGGAGGACAGACAGACAGATTGACATACAGACAGACAGGGAAACATACAGACGGACAGATGTGCAATAATACAGAGTTTTGCTAATAGTAATTGCTGAGTGGTATAGTACACTTGTATTGTCCAAATAAACACTTATGTCACAATTTAAAATTAATTTTTCCGTGTTCTACTGTAACTGAATCCAAAGTTCAAGTAACTGAAGCAACAAAAGTAACATGGGTAGTTGGGTAGCTATCAATTTTGAGTCTTAATACAGATGCAGTAGCGTGAAAAATTTAAGAAAAAAATATCAGATAGAAATGCCATAAGGACATTACCTTAATGGCAAAGGAAGTGACACCAGCCACCAAAATCAAAATGTAATTCTCTGCATGCCGTGGAAAGAATTACCGTATTTTCGTACTTCTGACAACTTTGACCACGTACTGTAACAGGCTGCATCACATTTTTTTAAAAATTCATCCAGTCTCAAACGTATTTGTAACAGATGAAATCTTTTGAACAACGTGGTAATATCAGAGCACGGTACCTTAACAATAAACATAACAATAAGAGTGCATGAAAGTATTATTTATTTTGAATGATGTGTGTTGCAATAAAGGTTCTGTATGGCAATTTATCTTCAACTTAATATGATTCTACACTAGAACTACAGACACATTGTGCGACATAGTGTAATAAATGCATAGCCTTTATATAGTTCTGATGATTTGAAATATACGGGCTCTGAACTAATTGATACTGACAGCAATGATGATAATGGTAATATGGTATTCCTAATTGTCTAACAGATCCTGTTGCTTAGCATTTTTCAAAGGTTTGCGTGTTGGCAGTAATTGGGGGGGGGGGCTTAACTCCCAATGATGTTCAATTTAAAATGTTATGGAGTATATTTATATATTGGTCGTTTGCTTCTTGCATTCAAACATCTTCAATGAGAATCATTACGCTGAACTTTACCTTTGCTTCTTTGCCCATACCCAAGAAAAAAGAACCTGTCGGAACAGACGCTTCTTCATAAATCATTTGGGATATTAGCACCCCTCAGAACGCTAAGATTTCCTGGCATGCAACACGTGAATGGGGAACCTTTTCCCATCTGATAGAACGACGGTATAATTAGTTACAGAGATAAGAATATTGAACCAGGTAATAAAGGACGAGGTTCTTCCTTAACGTGAAAAGGAGTCCACTTCCATCGGAAGGAAATATGCTCTTACGCTACTTATACAAAGACCATTGGGAGCAAATGACACAGCCGTCAGAATTCTGAAGGTTTCTAAATGTTACTCTCAATCGTAAACATATAATATCCAAAGATATTTCACTCAAATGCTGTGTATTGACTATATATATATATATATATATATATATATATATATATATATATATATATATATATTACACGAATACCGTGCTTACATTTTAATAGTTTACAAAGACAATTTGATAAAGACAATAGGACGTATTCTAGCCGAGACATTACATATAGTGTTATTGGTGGTAACGATACAAATGTTTTTTTGTAATTGTTCAGAGTTTATATTGACGTCTGTAAAATGACACCAGCTTCCCACATCATCCGCCCCAAACGCCTGTTTAAAAATGTGAATTCAAAGAACTGCCACAAAACATCGATGAAAATAGAAAATGGACTATATATAGCTCTAAAACAATGTCACATACGATATTTCAAGTCAGATAAAGACCAAACAAGAATTAAATTAAACCCAAAGGAATAAAAGAATTCAATTAGGATCCCTGGTTTGCTTGGCATATAGTAATTAATTGATTTCATGCTGTTGACAAAACGAGTCTTCATAAAAAAACTATTATAATCAACTCAATTACATAGAGTCGAGAGTTTTGACATTCAAGACTCGTCAGATGATAGATTAAATGCAGATTCTCGGGCGTTAATTTATGTTTGGTGAAAACTGTAGTTTCAGAATTCACAGATTCGGGGTAAGGTTACATCAACAGCGCTAATGTGCACATTGGCAGTAAAGCAATTCCACTTTGTACCAGTTCTGCTTTAGCGTCACCAATCTAATGAATTGAGTTTCGGTTAAATATTTTGATAGACCGTCCCGGATTAAATCTATTGGGACTGACCCACCCCGTCTATTCACTGAAAAATCATGGTCGCCACCAGTTTTTCTAAAGAAAACACTGGACGCATGACAACTGAGAAATTTACAATTTTTAAATATTTAATAATTAAAATATGTAACCTGAATCAGCCCCAACAAAGAAAAATTATATGGTACATTAGGTCAAGCAGTTGAGAACAAACGCAATATCTGACCACTGCACATTTTTTGTGCCAATGAGTATGCATTATCTAATGACTATTTAATTTAAATCTGTTTAGTAAAGAGAGTCGGTAAATGCATCGATATCAAAACATCTGCCGCTCACTACATCTTTGAATATAAACGGAGAAATTATCACAAAACATACTGTTACTCGAACTTTTTTGGTACAACCACATCCTGTTGTATTTTTTCTTGGACGCCAGGAATGTGCGGATCCTGTTGAAAATAGTTACACTCATGCCTCCACAGGTGTCCAAGCTCTCCGTTAGCAACACATCAGGTCTGTCCCAAATTTGCTGCCAATTGCAATTCCTTATAGCAAATTTGCAGCACATTTGCAGCGAAATTGCCGCAAATTAGCAGCAATTCAAAAATTTCTAGCAAACTCCTGCAAACTTGTTGTCGCACATTTTTCATTATTCATTATGCGCGCTAACATATCCTCAATCGATTTCCATTGTTTTGTTACAGTGATTAACATGTATGTAAAGCAGCGGTCTACGTTTCTGTATGTATGGAATTTAACTTTCCCGCGATATACCATATGGCATATTTCAAAAGACTATTTCTGTAATTCATTTGCGCTCATCTACAATGCCCTCAAATAAGGCCGTTTTGGTGTCAATTTTTTAAAAGAGAGTTGTGAGGACATTAGAGTCACATCACTGAAAATCGTGACTACTGAAGAAAGAAAAATTCTAACCTCCTATCATACAAGGTAGAGTTAAATGGTAAGTTACGGACGTTAGAAAATAATTTACCAGAAAATCAGTAACGATTAAATGTTGAACTGGACAAGGCGACGATGGCATGAGATATTCTGGGGAATACATCGAAAATGCGCTCGACAACCGCTTAAATTATAGCGATTGGTGCCACAAAATTGCCTTATTGTGGTTTTAAACATTATCCCGACACATTATATTGCCACGATTGGCTTTTAAACGAAAAGGGCCAATAACTTTCATCCACTGCATCTTGAAACCCCACGTCTCCACAGATTGACACTTGCAAGCACTTACACAGATTAAAGAACCGTTTCTCTAAAGATAAGACTCTGTCACCTGGCAATGTGGCCGTCTTTAACTTACTTGTCTGTGCCGTAAGGTCAGTGATCTCAAAGACCACATTACAAAGTTAACTCAGCGCCTACAGTTCAGCTCTAGCAAATTAATTATAGCGGACCAGACTGATGCACTGATGAAATGGTAAGGTGCATAGCATTCGGATGGCAAACATATTTGGAGCGTCACTTTATTTCTTCAGAGATCATACAAAACCTTTATTGCCACACACAGCTTCATTTTATGTTCTACAAATAAGGTTTGAGTCAAACAAAGTGGTTCCCTATACAGGCAGGCTGTTCTTTTGATAAAGCACATGACAGAAACATGGGTACCTGACACTTTAAATACTTTATCAAACGCATTCCATTTCAGATTTGACTGACAACGCCTCGCCATATTGTGGTTTTTAATGGTGATTATGCTTATTATCATGTTGTGAAACATAGGCCTATGAACTGGCATTACATGTTCAATATCGCATAACACATAGCATCTAAAAATGCAATATCCGGGTACATCGTAACGCCTTAACATCTAGTCGTATCTTTAATTACTACTCGCAATAGTCTGGTAGCCAGCATCAGGTGGCATACCGTTCCCGTTTATGAAGGATTAAATTAATAAATGGAGAACTTCACAGGCACGCACTCACGCACACGCACACGCACACATACATACATACATACATACTCATGTGAAACTTATTCCTGTAATTAAAAAAACGAGACAGACGGCACCCAACCCAGGAACCTGTAGGACAAGAA